AGGAGAAATGGAGAGACTGAATGATAACAAGGCCGGTATGGCAGGCATCGATAAGGTTTCCATTTCATGCATGCACTCCCATTGGCTTGTTTAACCGCCTGTTTCAGACTCGATCGGCTCATTCGATTCCGCGATGAGCGAAATCCGGTTCCTTGGTTGATTTGCCTCGTTGGCAAATGAGGACTAGCATCTTGGCATATCGGACTATCAGGCCACCTTTATCTCCTTTTCAACCACCTTTTGCACGATTCCCTTCGCAGTTAGGTAACTCCCATTACTTTGGCCTCTTCACTCAGCACCTTCGCAAGGACGTGGAGCGAATGAAGAGGATGGGGAAGGAGGAGGTTGATATCAGTCAGTTCGAATGGGAATTCCCTGGCCGACCTGAGGCTCGGAACAATTACTCAATAGCACATGCGGATGGCTAAGTAAAAAGACGCCGCTGCTAAGCATTCAGAGTCAAATGCAAATAGATGAGGTGTTTCTTTTTCAGGAACATATCCAGAGGATAATCGATGAAAACACTAGTCCAGAATTTGTGGCGCACGCACAAAAAAGGCAAGAGAGGGTAGACGCGAAAATAGAACGATTTAAAAAGATTCTGCAGAACCTGTCTTCTGAGAAGATTGCCGAGACGGAGGCTGAGGTTGTCGTTGTTTAATTGCGATATAGAAGGGTGCATTTTTGATCATTGCTGCTATGGAAAAAATGATCATTCAGATGGATATTGTGGGCGATGAGTTGGAAAAGGAACGCGACCTGTCACGGTATGCTGTCCACGTCGATATGGATGCATTCTTTGCAGCCGTTGAAATGCGTGACGATCCATCGTTGCGTGATATTCCAATGGCTGTTGGCTCCGATTCCATGCTGGTATGTTTTCGCCGTTGTTCACATTTGACACTTGATTTCTGGACTGGCATAATGCTGGTTATTGCTTCTTGCAGTTTTCTTTGCTTTACACACAGGCATTTGAGCAATAAACTGCGTACAGATCCAAAACACTTTCAGAGCTAAACAACTGGGAAAGAAATAATAAATCAAGCAGTGCACTTTACTCAGTTTGTACTAATACACAGCATAATTTCGAGGTTAGAACGAACAAAAAAAAAAAAAGCGCACGAAAGACATCGCTTTTGTGATTGTTTCAGAGTACTTCCAATTATGTGGCTCGTCGTTACGGGGTTCGTGCAGCAATGCCAGGTTTCATCGCCAAAAAGTTATGTCCTGCACTGAAAATTGTTATTCCCTCATTCGGCAAATATCGCAAAGCAAGCTTAGAGGTTATTGCTTTTTTTTTCTTCAGTTATGTGCAAGGATTTGAAAGTTCAGAATGATAGAAAATGCAGAAAATCGTTTGTGAAGTATGGCTTCTTGCAATTTAAATATACTGAGACTTGTTTTTTAGGTCCGAAAAATATTCAGAGAGTATGATCCGTATTTCTCAATGGGTAGTTTGGATGAAGCATACATGGATTTGACTGATTGCCTTCAAAAGCGACTTCAGGACGGCAAAATGGGTTCTTTTTACTTTTTTTTTTTTACTGCAGTTTTGATTGGGATTATCTTTCTTTTTTTTAATCTTTTTTCCTCTTTTACCTCAAATATTGCTAAACGCGTGTTGGTAATGCCGTGAGTGAGACGATAGGATCCGGTTGCGATCATTTGTGAAGTTATGTCGATGCATCGACGGACTATGTGAGGGAAAGCGCAGCAGTTAAATAACATCTTTTTAGAGTATTGAGCCTCGACACTGTCTGGATGTTTTACTTCTTCCATTGCATGGTGAGGTTTCCCCTCCGCCCTCCCCCC